TGTCGTTACTGTCTACTTCTAGAGCATTCTTATCACCCCACAAGGAAACTCTGATCTCATCGAACAAATTGTTTCTCTTTCTCCATTTTCTCCAGTTCTTAGGAACAATACTGTACTTCATGTCTCTAATTTGTCTTTTCTGTATGTGTCATTTAAATTGAATCAATCTGACTTTCCACGATGGGCTTCTTTTCATTTAGTACAGTATTTCCAGGGTTCATCCATCAGTAGCAGACACTTACTTCTCTCCTTAGAGCTAAGTGACAATCCACTGCATGAAGCAGCCACATTTTCCCTATTTAGCTGCTAGACACTGGGCTGTTTCTTCACTTTGCTATTGCAGTTAGTGCTGCTATGAATATCTGTGTCTGTGTATAGGTGTGGTTTTGATTTTTGGTTTTTAGAGACAGAGCTCCAGATTGGTCTTGCTACACATGTGCTAATTTGTTGAATGCTTATTTTTAATTAATTTGTTTAAATTATTTAAACACACACACATCAGAGAGGTAGATTATGTGGGAATTCTATTTTAACTTTTGAAGAAAATGCCACTTTCCCCTAGTAGATATGTGGGGTTCCAGTTCTTCATGCTCTTGCCGACTGCTGTTAGTCTGATTATTGTCACTGTTGTGATGTGATTGGTTCTGAAGTAACAGCTCACGTGCTTCTGATTTATATTTTTCTAATGACCCAATGTTGCCACTCATCATCTCTCCAAGTCCTTTTTGGGATACCTCTCCTCAGAGCTCAGAAAATCCTTTGAAAGAAGAGGCATAAAGAATGTAAGAGCCAGAGGGATAGAGGACACCAAGAAAACAAGGCCCTGTAAATCAGCATGAGCAAAGCTCATAGGAACTCCGAGACTGAAGTAGCATGCACAGGGCCTGCGTAGTTCTGCACCAGGTCCTCTGTGTTTATACTGTGTCTTCCAGTTTATTGGTTTAATGGATTCCTGAGTGTAGGAATGAGTGGGTCTCTGATTCTTGTGCCTTCTCTCAGGCTCTTTTCCTTCTGTTGATCTGCCTTGCTCAACTTGGATGTGATAGTTTTTGTTTTATCTTTTATATTTTATTTTGTTGTATAAATAGATAACCATGCTACAGTCCACAGCCCCAGAGAGGTTAGGTAACAAGGAAGGCCCAAAGGGGGATGCATGGATTTTCCTCGAAAGGGAAATAGACGGGATCTCCTGGGTAGATTGGGGGTGGGGTAGGGATGGGAACATGAGGGATTAGGATGGAAGGGGATAGTACTAAAAAAGATGTCTCAGTATGGGGGACATTTTCAGGTTAGGTAGAAACCTGGTACAAGGGAAATTCCCACAAATCTACAAGTGTGACCCCAGCTAAGACTCTTAGCAATAGTGGATAGGTTCCCTGAACTGGCCATCTCCTATAATCAGATTATTGACTACTCCAATTGTCATCATAAAGCTTTCATTTAATATCTGATGGAAACAGATGCAGAAACCTACAGTCAAGCACTGGGCTGAGCTGCAGGATTCCTGTTGAAGAGAGGGAGGAAGGATTGTACAAGATGTGGGGGTGGGGGCATCAAGGCCATCACAGGGGAACCCACAAAGACATCTCTGACCTTGGCTCATGGGAGCTCACAGACTCTGCCCACCAGCTAGGGAGCCTAGGCCCTCTGCATATATGTGACAGTTTTGTAGCTTGGTCTACTTATGGGACTCCTAGGAATGGGAGCAGGCCTTGTCCCTGGCACTTTGCTAGGCTTTTGGGAACCTATTCCTCATGCTGTGTTGCCTTGCCCAGCTTTAATATGGGGATTTTGGGGGATCTTAGTCCTGCATCAACTTACTATGCCATGCTTTCTTGACACCTGAGCAGTGAGTGGGGGACAGAGGGAAGGGGAGGGGATAGGAAGAAAAGAGAGGGGAAACTACAGTCAGAATGTAAAGGAAATGAATACATTTAATTTAAAAAGAATAAAATGAATGAGTGCATATAAACCTAGTCACTAGAGTAACAGTTAACAATGAAACGGTCATCTGTAGCTGCTGGGAGAGGCAATATCAGTTTTCTCCAGTAGAGTTACACTGGGGGTATCTACCACTCCAAGGAGATCTTATGTTCAAGAGTAGTTGACCAAAAATAATGAACTCTACAGTTTGTGTGTGTGTGTGTGTGCTTTTATTTGGATATAATTTGGTGTATTTCTTTGTTTGTTTTGTTTCTTTTGGGGTGATGTTGTATTCTGTCTTCTAGGTTTTAGGGGGGTTTGTTGTGTGTTTTGTTTTCTTGATTTATTTTTTTGAGAAATAACTGGAAGTTGTGTGGATAGGGAGGAGGAGAGGACCTAATGAATTTGAGGGACAGGAAAAGTATGAACAAAGCATATTTAGATTTTTAAATTGTTTTAAATAATTTTAAAAAATTAAGTTCTTTTTGGCCATTTGTATTTCTTAGAATTGTCTTCAAGTTCTTTACCCATTAGACAAAATTTGGTTATTTTTGAATTACGAAGTTGCTGGAAGGGTACCTCTTGTATTCTGGATAGTGGCCCAGTTATGATTTGCAATTTCTCCCATTTCCTAGGTTTTTCTGTTGACTTCATAGATGATATTCTGTCAGCACAAGTTTTGAACTGTAGCCTAGTCAATTAAAATACACGTTTTCTTTTGCTGCTTATACATTAGCACACAACTTTACAACTTTTCTTTGGCACGTCCAAATGTGCTGGCTTAGGTGTGCCTTCCAGGTTTTATGTTTTGCAAACTGAAAACCCAAAGTCATTTGTTAACACAATTTTGATGTGGTACCTTTGGGGCATGATGGACAATCATCCCTAAGATGCTGAGATAGTGACTTTGTTATACAATCGAGATGCCTCGGCAAGCTTGCTGTCTAGTCACGTGTTGCCCTCCACCATGTTATTGTGTGGCACAATGGTCTTCCCCAGGTGCCAGCGCCACTCTCTTGAACTTCCCAGCCTCCAGAGCCGTGCCGCTCTCACTTAGCCTTTGCTTTTCCTTTTGTGACCCCTGCCCCCAATTCTTCCATTTTCTCAATGTCTATGGTTTGTATTCTTTTTCTCCTGGCCCTCTGCTTCTCCTTTCTCCCCAGCTTCTCCATCCTGTACGGTAATGTAGCTCTGCCTCTACCCTTGCTAAACCCTTTCACAAGGCTGGTTTCTCCCTTCTGGTTTCTTGGTTCTCTTTTCCCCCAGCTTCTCCTTTCTGTGCTGTGATGGAACTCTTCCTTTACCCTCGCTATCCCTTTCACAAGATCAGTTTTCCCTCCTGGGTTCCCATACCACCTATGCTTCTCCTTTCCCCACAGCTTCTTCTTTCTGTGCTGTGATCTAACTCTGCCACCCTTGCCACTAGCCACAAGTTTGAATTTTCCCTCCTGAGTCCCTACTTCTTCTTTCTCCTCAACTTCTGCATCCTTTACCGTAATGTAGCGCTGTCTCTACCCTTGCTAAACCCTTTCACGAGGTCGGCTTTTCCCTCCTGGTTCCCTGCTTCTCCTTTCCCACAGCTTCTCCTTTCATTCTGTGCTGTGATCTAGCTCTGCCATCGTTGCTAATGGTCACGAGGTCGGTTTTTCCCTCCTGGTTCCCTGCTTCTCCTTTCCCGCAGCTTCTCCTTTCTGTGCTGTGATCTAGCTCTGCCATCGTTGCTACTGGTCACGAGGTCGGTTTTTCTCTCCTGTGCCCCTGCTTCTCCTTTCCCACAGCTTCTCCTTTCAGTGCTGTGATGTAGCTCTACCTTCACCCTTGCTGCCCTTTCACAAGGTTGGCTTTTCCCTCCCGATTCCCTACTTCTCCTTTCCCTCAGCAGCTTCTCGTTTCTGTGTTATGACATAGCTCTGCTGTCCCTTTGCTACCCCATTAGCAAGATCAGTTTTTCCCTTCTGGGAAAATCCCACACCACCTCTGCTTCTCCTTTTCCCACAGTTTCTCCTTTCTATAACTGATTTTGTCTTACAGATGCTCCCTCACGTCTGCTTTCTTTCTCTCTGCTTGCTGATTTCATTTCCTTTTGCTGGTCTCTCCCTGCTTCTCCCCCACTCTAAGCTTCTCCTTTCTGGGATTCTCTAACCAATCACTGACTCTGCCTGCGTTTGTGGTCTAGTGAATTTGCCTGTGCTTTTCCCCTTTCTTGTGCTTCTCTGTTTTCAGCTTTTCCCACGTATCAGCTCTCTCACCTCTGCACCCTTCCCAGCTCTGCTGATCTGTTAATTTTTGGTGATGTAGTTTCTGGTTTTCCCCTGACTTCTCTTTCTGCTGCTGCTGATTTTCCTTTTGCTGCTAATTCTGCCATACTGTTTCTCCTTGTTGTCTACATTTTTCTGTATGTATACCTTTTCTATATTTCTTCATTTTTTTATGATTCTTTCTAGCATCACTTTTACCTGCCCATTTTAATGGCTGTTCCTGCCTTTTTTTTTTAATCTTCCTGTTACTACTGTAGCATCTCCCAACATAAAGACCAACATTAAAGTTAGAAGTAGCTGATTAACATATGCAGTAGCTATTTCTCCCTGGGTGCTCCCCTCTAGAGTAGGTACTATGGCTTAGGAATTGAAGAAGTTTTGTTTTTTAAGGGATAGGTTTGGTGCTTCATGGCCATAATGGGTGGAGTATTCCATAACTCCTCCAAGGTTCCAAGGTGTTGAGTGGGCAAGCCTTGTCTTTCCCACTGTTAGTATATTGAATACCATACCAAGAGCAATGAGACAATAATGAAGGATAGGTTGTTCTTTTAAAAAAAAAAAAACAACTGGATAAAGAGACATGGGGGTGCAGAAGATAGTAAAGATGTGGGGCATGTCTAACCAAACAAGAGAAGACTAGAGACAATGAAGGCGAACAGGGGGAGCAAAGTTTATACTGAAAGGAGTTGGATTGAGACTGTAGCATTGAAGAGTTGATTATAACTAAATATGGGTTCTGAAAGAAAATAATCAGTTAATGATTTCCATTCTAGCACAGCTACACAGGTATTTTCCTATTTCTTTTCTTTTCTCTTGTAGGTCCTGAAGCTGTGCCTCCCACCCTTCTCAAAGTAGTGATGAAACCCATAGCAACTGTGGGGGAAAGCTACCAGTATCCTCCCGCAAACTTGGCTGCACTCCTCTCTCCACTTATGAGGCTAAACTTTGGTAAATATCAACTTATTTTAGTTTTTCAGGCTTTGCCCTTAGAATTGACCTGAATTTAAAAAGCAGATTTTGTGTCACAGTTGACTAGTAGATTTATTGTATATTGTGGGTTGATATCTTATGTGCAATAACCAAGTTACTTTCACTGAGTAATAGGTGAGGGTGGGAGGAAGAGGTCTAAAGATGTAGACCTATATAGTCCTCAAAAACAACTCTTGAGGAACGAGGGAGATAGCCTAGTCAGAATAATGTTTACTATGCAAGCATGAGAAACTAAGATCCCTCACATAAAAATAAATAAATAGGTAGATAGATAGATGGGTAAATAAATAAATAAAACGAGCATGTCAACAAAGTACAGTGACGATGCCTACAATCCCACTGCTGGGAAGGCAGAGATAAGAAGATCATAGGAAGATACTTGCTGACCAGCCAGCCTAACCAAATCAGGGAGCTGTGAGCTTAGGGAGAGGCCTTGTCTTTCAAGGAAACTAGAAAATAAATAAATGGGGTGAAGAGGGATTGAGGATAATACTTGGTGCTAATCTCTGGCCTCCATATGCACACCGATATACACATGTACACACACACACACCAAACACAAGAACAATAGTGAACAAACAAAATAGCCAGATAGCTCTTCTGTGAGTTGTATTTATTGCTGGGCATGTGATGCAAACTTAGTTTGATAGGAATCAGACTGCGCTTACTGAGCCCTAGGTTTCAATGAATGTCGAATGCCTTGTTAGGTTTTTATTGCTGGTGAAGCAAACTTATCAACATTTTTATTATCTTATAGTTAGTTCTGTAGGCGAGAAATTCAGCATGAAAGCCAAGGCAGGAACCTGAAGGCAGGGACGGAAACAGAAAGCCATGGAAAATGCTGCTTATGGGCTTGCTTTCTTATACAACCCAAGACCGCTTACCCAGGTGGCACTCTGCACAGGAGAATGAGCCTTCCTATATTAATCATCAGTCAAGAAACTGTCCCACTGACATGCCCACAGAACATGCCCATATTCCTCAGATACTCCTTCTTGTTAGATGGAGTTTGAGTTGAGCTGACAAGACAAAACAAAACAAACAAACAAAAAACAACCCAAACTATAGGTCTTTTGTTTACTTAACACAAGTAAGTATGTCAAGCCATTATCTTTACTTTATTGTTTATCCCTAAGATCGCATGTTAATATCATAATATAAAACATAGTCTACCTTTATAAATCTTTAAAAAAGATTTTAAGCCTTTAAAAAGTTTTAAACTCTTTAAAAGTTCAAAGTCTTTAAAAAAATATTCAAAGTCTCTTAACTGTTTCTGTAATACTAAACACAAATTAAATACTTTCGTACTCTAAAAGAGAAGAACCAGGGTCTAAAAGCAATAACACTTAAACAGAGTCCATCTGTGTACCTACAAATCCATTAGCTCACTGTGTGATATCTGGACTCCAGAAAGTTTGGGGCAATATTGTATTATGTGTGTATGTATGTATGTATGTATGTATGTATGTATGTATGTATATGTATGTATGCATGTATGTATGTGTATATATGTGTATGTATGTGTGTATGTATGTATGTGTGTGTTTATATGTGTCTGTCTGTCTATCTGTCTATCTATCTATCTATCTATCTATCTATCTATCTATCTATCTCTGAGGGAACTAAAGGTAGCAACTTGGAGTCTAGAACAGAAGTGAGGCCCACAGCAACACTACTTACTGTCTTTTCCCTCATGGCTGACTCAGCTTTCATTCATATAGCACCCAGGGTAGCTGTCCAGAAGTGACACTGCCCATAGTTAGCTGGAGCCTCCCACATAAACCATTAATCAAGAAAATCCCTCACAGACTTACCTACAGGCCAGCTTGATAGAGGCAGTTTCTCAGTTGAGGGCTCTTGTCGTGGAACTCTAGTTTGTGTGAGGTTGGCAAAAAAATTAACTGGTATGCCAGATAGAAATTTCCCTGTGTGCTGAACACATGCTGGAGAAGGAGGCGGAGGCGGCACTAGGAGATCTGTAGCTAGCATTTTCGCATATTTTTAAATAGTATTTGAGTGACCAAATTTCTCTAGATGCTATCAGAGAAATTTCCCCAGGTAGTTTAAGTCCATTGGCAGTCCCAAGAGTTAGGACTGTGATTCCGCTGGATCATTCTTTGCCTCCTCAAAAATTCTCGGACCTCTTGGTTGAAAGAATTCTGTCATATGCAGAAGTGGCCCAAGTAGATGGGTTGATTCAGACATTGAATCCTGTCTCTGAATCAGGGAGCCGAGCAAATATTACAGAAGTGATTTTCCTCTCTTGTCTTTCAGGTGAGGAGATCCAGCAGCTGTGCCTTGAGATCGCTGTGACTCAGGCACCGTCATCGCAGAGCGCAGCTGCACTGCTGGGCTTGTGGGTGATGCCACCACTGATCCATGGACTGAGCGTATGTAGTAGTGCCAGGTGCTGAGCATAGCCAGGGACCAGTCTTCTCGGAGAAGGCCACACTCACCTGGAGTGCGCTCTCTGAGTCAGGAGTAGAAAGAAGTTTAGGAATACTTGGTCTAGCTGGCCAGCAGCCTAGAAGACGACATGGCTCTAATCCTCCCCTTCCCATTTGTTTTAACTGCTTCTTGTTACTGAAGAGGATGGTCACAGATACTAACATTCCTTTTGGAACCAAGTTTGCTTGATAATATAGTGTGGATATCTCCCTGGGTATGGAGAGAGAGACAAATCCATCTTTACTGAATGCCTCTTCCCTGCATCTCTTCCTCCCTTTCTTGGAGTAGGGTACAACTATGGGGAATCTTGAAAGCCTGGTAGGATCTGGCTCCGCCTCCAAAGAGGGACACTGGGGAGGGAGTTGGAGGAATGAACATCTTTGCTTGAGGATTCAAGGTAGAAGTGACCCTTCCATTTTGTATTTGTGAAAGTCTGAGAGCATGTTCCAGACATTAGCCAAAGGTACATAAGAATAGACTAAATATGTAGAGATATATAATGAGGAGGAATTTTGAGTCTATCTGCTTCAGGGAAAAAAAGATATTCCATGAGAATTTCCTAAAGTTCTAACTTGATTATCAGTACATGGCCTATCTATAATCTGGCTGTAGTTTATTTCAAGTAGTACAAGATTCTCTTATATCCTCCATATCTGGGCTTTAGTCCTGCTTCTACATTGCTTTTGTGTTTGATCTTTCTTATTTGTCATGATGGTCTTTAGTTGAAGATGTGTGTTGTTGAAGTCTGCGCTTTCCTCTCTCGCTAGCACCATTACTCTCTCTTGTCCTCTCCAGTGTGTCCACCTAGCTGTCGCTTGCTGACCACTTGCTGTGTGCCTGATACTTGCTGGGACTCAATCCATGTTATAGACGTCAGCTTTAATGTCTCATGTCTCTGGCAGCTCATTTTAAAAGTTAACCTTCTTGAGTTGTAATTTATATATCCCCAAGTGTCTAGTTTAGTGGCGATCTTTGATGAGTCTTAGTACATTTGTTTCTAGTCATCTCCATGAGTCACAATTCACTCAGTACAACACTGGGCCTAGTTTGAGTCAGTCTCTACTCTCAGTTGAAGCTCAAGCTACCAATAATGTACTGTCTATAATTTTGTCTGTGTGTATATGGTGTATATGTGTATACATATTTATGTATGTTCAGGTGCATGGGGTATGTGGAGTACAGGGGGTGGAGGTCAAAAGTCAGTGTTGCCCGCCTTCCTTAATTTTTTCCTCCTCTTATTTCTTGAGACAGGGTCTCTTAGTGGACCTGAAACTCAGTGATTTGGTTAAACTGGCTGATCAGCAAGCCTCAGAAATCCTATTTTCTTTGCTTCCCCAGCCCTGGGATTACAGGCAAAGTACATGCCTTCTCACGTGGGTGCTAGAGATTGAAAGTGTGTGCACAATATACACTTTCCCAGCTGGGGCATCTCCTCGGACCCAAGTTTTATCCTTCTTTTCTCTCCCATTATTTTGTTAGTTCTTTGAGGATGTTGTACAATGTGCTGTGATCTAACTCCTTCCGTATCTACCTCCTTCCCTACTGACCCAACTCTATATCCTTTTCCTCTGTAAGTCCATCGAGGCCAATTTATGCTGCCCAGATACTCTTGAGAGTGTGACCTTCCGCTGGAGTAGAGTATACCTACCAGGAGTCACGTCTGTAGAGAAAACTGACTCTCTTTCCAGAAGCTGATGATTATCAATAGCCCCTAAGCTAGGAATGGGGCTTTCTTCCCAGCTCCCCTCTTCTCTCCATGCTGGAATTTGGTCTGGCTTGCACTTAACATAGATCTTGTGCATGCTGTCACAATTGCAAGGAGCTAATATATGCAGCTACCCTGTACATTTAAACTGCACATAAATTTTAGAAATTTGTTAGCATAAAATTATATTTTGAAACTTTGGGTCTGGGAAGAGTATTATTTCCACTTTATAGATTGATAAACTAAGATGTGTTTTGAGTAAAATTTGCTCAGGGTAATACATGAGAAGCCAGTGTATGGCTGATTTCAAAGCTTTCTACCCTTAACTCTTTCTTCCTGTTTAACCAAGTGTCTAACAGCCTATCCTTAGAATTTTCTCTAATTCCTGTAGGCCTTCCATTTCTGATTTAGACCTACTCAGCTCTTGACATCTGCTTTGGGTGTATGTTAATCATCGTAAACATGATCTGAGCTGTAATAGTCTTGAAGACATGCTCTTTAGAAAACTCATGCCACCTTAATGGACCTCTTGGAAGGATTGTATTGACTTTTTTCTTAGCCTACTTCTTCTATACTTGTCCATTACTATCAAACTTGTGTTTCTAGGAATGTTTAGGTGTCGTGTAACAGCTAATAATTAGTCCTGCCTCATCTTGCCTCTCATGCACTCTGAGATGTTTTGGTCAAGGCCACATGCTCAGTGGATGTAGATCCACACAGTTGCATGTGTACCCACACACATGCATACATATAGTGCATGAAAACCACAGAAATAACAGAAAAACCTGAAGAGCAACTACGACTTACTTTCAGAAGTAGCATTTTATTCCCAACTCTGAAAGATCTGAGGTCTCAGTTAAGCAGGGTAGTTGAATGGATTGACAGCTTCTCTTACTAGAGAACGTGCTTTTAAAAGTGAACTGGAGAAACTGGCGAAACAGGTCAGTTGGTCAGATGTTTGCTGTGTGAGCAAACGACCTAAGTTTGGATCTTCAGCTCTCCAGCATCCATGTAAATTTAGGTCAGGTATATTGTGTGCGTAAAGCACTAATGCTGGGAAAGTGGAGACGGGATCCAAGAAACACACTGGCCGGCCGGCCTATCCAATTGGTGAGCTCTGTGTTCAGTGAGGAACCCTGTCTGAAAAATTCAGATGGAGGGTGATTGAGGAGGACACCTGCGGTTGACTGCTAGCTTCCTCAAACCCTGCAGCACACACCCCTGTACACATGCACACCCACATATATGTGCAGCACATATGCAAGCACCACAGACAGAAAACCCAAAACAGTAAGGAAAGATCAGAGTAGCAACTGTGACATACTTTCCGAAGTAGCATTTTGTCCCCGTCTCTGAAAGGGTTTCAGCGATTCAGCGACTCAGTTGAGTGGATTGACAGGTCCTACATGTACACAGGAGACACCCTGGATCAGAAGTAAGTGAAACAGCTAGAGTTGCTATAGTTACAAGTGCCGGTGACCCTTTGAACTGTGAACCCATGGGGAAAATAAGGGAGAAAGAAGTAACCCACAGCTTTTAATCTGTCTTCTCTCCAACTCAGTGATGACTAGAGACTTGGAGCACCACACAGTCAGACTGACATGTTTATGTCTGACTTCTTCTATTTCCCTTCCAGATGAATATCAAGAAATACCTCCTGGTATCGTTGCCTCTGTGGGTAAAACATGTCTCTGATGAACAGATCCAGAGTTTTGTTGAGAACCTGATGGTGGTAGTTTTTAAAGCAGCTTCCCCACCTAGTCATCCTGAGTTGTGCCTGAGTGCCTTACAGGGTCTGAGCCAGGCCATGAAACTGCCCAGCCCGTCCCACCACCTCTGGAGTCTGCTCTGTGATGCTACTGGGAGAATTTTTGACCTCCTGCCAAATAGGATTCGGGTAAGGAACAAAAATATTTACATTCCTGACAGTTTATGCTTGGGCTTCTTGAAAGTCATTTTGGCAAGCAGGCTGGGGAATGTTTTAAGAATATGGGTGGGAAGACTAGCAAGAAATAACCACATTCTTCACTAGGAGTGTGTTTGCTTCCAAGATCTAAATTGAGGTTGAGTATTTAGAAACAAAGTTTTGAGCAAGCTTAGAGGTGAGTTAACCAGTGCTGTACCGGATGCCTGACGAAGATGAGTAAGTCCAGAAATCCCTAGCCAGTGCACCTTGGTGACAGTGCCTTATTTGTCGTATCTGTCATAAATCATCACTTTATTATCATTTACATATCACTTAGTTATCGCTGTCTCTCATACGGCTTCATGTCGGCCCTTCCCCTACCACTGAAGACTACCCACTAAAGTTTCACCACCAGGGTAAAATCTGCTTAGAATGATGGAATTCTGATAGGGAGAAAAAGTCCAGCCAAGCGAACACCCAGAACAATGGCGAAGACATTTTTCAATTGTGAAAAGACTGTCTGTATGTTTTGGTTTGGTAACAATAGAATCTCATCGGCAACTGTTACTGGGGATAAACAGATCTAATAATCTGTCGGAATATTAATTGAAGTGATATTCTTCTCTTCCACTGTATTTTGACATGCTTGAGATTTGTCTTTGTCAGAGAAGTGACCTCGAACTGTACATCAGTGTAGCAAAGTGCCTCTTGGAGATGACAGATGACGGTGCCAACCAGCTTTCCCAGATCACCCAGGTAACAATGCCCATCTACACATTCATTATTGAGGCAGAAATTACCCTTGAAGAGTTGTTTACAATATCCTTTTGGCCTAATATAGTTTTTCATCCAACTCGTTGCTGGGTAATTTTAGGGAGCTGACTTTCTCGTTCACTCGTCAGGTCTGGTAGCCAGCCTGGTGCTGTGAGCTGTGTTTAATGCATACTGTCTAGATGGATAGATACATGACTAACTTTTTAACACAGTTTCTTAGACTTTGTCAAGAATATTTTGTGTTACCTTTTGGCAAAAACGAGAATAGAACAATGTCTTTAAGGTAATACCCACAAAAATAGGAATATTCTGATCAATGAGCTTGGTATGTTGAAGGCATCAACAAATAGATCTCACCTTTTTTTTTTTTTTTGGTACTAGATACTGTCCTTTTATAATGCAAAAAGGTGGTCATTTGTAAAACAACTAGCCCCCAGACCCACCCACATAGCAAAATAAATACAAAATACTTTGTGAAGTTGGAATTCCAAGTAAGCACAAATCCTTTGGCACAAATACATTTCAAATGGCATACTTACTTGAATATAACTGTTCATACCATATAGTGCCATGCGCCCTTCATCCCGGTTGCTGGTCACTATCTTGTCCTTGTCAGGTTTGCTTGTTCCTTTAGCTGCATCACACAGCAGTGGTTTTGAACATGGTGTCTCTGGGCCTGGTGCTGACTAGACATGGGGATTCTCAAGATCCACTCGAGACCGTGAGACCTAGCAGTCTATATTTGAATAGTCTCCCAACCAGGCAGTTCTGGTGCATCCTAAGGTTAAGAACCACTATTACAGAGTGTTTGGCTCTCAGCGTTTTGGAGATTTGCTTATTTTAAACAGAGAGAAGCTGTTCAGGGAAGTGGTAAGAATGAGTCTCACTCTGTTGAGTGAAATCCAGATCTGTATCTTATGAGCAGTGTGGTCTTGGTTAAGTTACCTAACCTCTTAATTTCCCTGTCTGTGAAATGGGTACAATCGCACCTACCTCTTAGGGTTGTCCTGAGAGTTGGATGACCTGGCTCATGATAAGCTCTTGGAACAGTATCAGCTCAAAGCAAGATCTCAGCAGTTACTTATCACCACATTCTTCCTGGATGCACCAGAAGTCAACAGCTGGTAGTCTCTTTGAAAAAGCTTGTAGTTCTTCAGAACCATGCCAAGGAAGTTTGCCTACTCTGACATTAAAATCCATTGGCTTGTTTTGAATGTCAGCTCTCTGATAGATGTATGATTTTCTGACACCATACACTGGTCATTTGGAAATGGTAATTCGTCAAGTTTTGAAGGTCTTCTAAATGTTGGTATGTTTTATTATATGATGTGAAAACATCATATTTGTTATGATCCTCAGAAATCATATCAGAAAAGCACTCTAGACACAGGGAAGTTCTCAGACTCAAAGAAATAGGCAAGTTTTTTTCCTGAAAATTTAATTTTTATTAGAAGATTTAACTATAGGCATAAATACTATGAAGTATTTTTCTTGGGGTGCTGGGCTCATTTCTTTGAGTTTTTAATAAAATAGTCTATCTAGTAGACAGTTAAAATAGCCAGAGTTGGTCATCATTCCTTCATGGAATTAGTGCCCCATATAGAACTATTTCAGCTCTCAACTCGGCCTTACCAGTGTTTCTCCTTGATCCAACTATGACACTAGGTAGGGAACATAGCGGAATCTTTATGCATGTCTTCCTGGTTGGTTTTTTATTGTTTACATAAGTATAACTGCAATCTCAATTTATTTATTTTATATAGAGAGGTGTTTTATCTGTGTCTATAATCTGTGTATCATGTGTGTGCCTGGTGCCCATAGAAGCCAGAAGAGTGTCAGATCCCTTAGGACTGGAGTTATAGATGGTTGTAAACCACCGTGTGAGTGCTGGGACTTGTAATGGTGTCTGGAAGAATAGCAGATGCTTTTAGCCTTTGATCTACGTCTCATGTACCTCATAAATGGATTTAAAAAATAAGCGGTATTAAAAATGAAATGGGCAACTCGGTGGTGGTGGCGCACGCCTTTAATCCCAACACATGGGAGGCAGAGGCAGGCGGATAACTGTGAGTTCAAGGCCAGCCTGGTCTACAAGAGCTAGTTCCATGACAGCTAGGGCTATTACACAAAGAAACCCTGTCTCAAAAAAAAAAAAAAAAAACCTCCAGAATTCTGTGTCATATTTTTAAAACTGCTGCACTAAATATATATTAAGTGTTTAAATTGGTATTTGGAACATGGTAAGGATATAGCATGTGTTATATTATTATTGTGTATGCTTACTTGCCCACCTCTAAACACAATTATGGTTTTCATGAAAAGACAAAAATATGGCATCTCAGCTCTCTCCTGAATGCGCAGGCAGCTAGGCTCCGCAATAGACAATGGATAGAAAATAACATCGAGCTCATGGTTCCTGACTGCCTCTGCCTTGGGGTTCTCCTGACTTACAAATAACTGAACAATTGTCGTCCGACCCCCCCCCCCCCCAGGACAACATAGAAAAGGCTGCCTTTGTCAAATTGTACTTGGTCTCTCAAGGCCGACTCCCCTTGATGAGCCTAATGGATCTGATCACGGCTGCCATGCGGCACCATGAGAAACAGACTCTGGCCTGGATGATTCTGCACTGCCTTTACCAGGCACGCATTGTGAGCCATGCCAACACAGGTGAGGACAGAAACGGTGGCCTGCTGTCTCTCTTCCGCTGCATGCGTCTCCTCAACTTAAAAGCTAACTTGTGTGCTCAGGGTTCATGATGTGAAATTCCCAAATGATCAGTAAAGATACTATGGAACAGAAAAACTAGCTTGTTTGCTGAAGGCGGTTTGGCCTTCCCCCAGATGAATGGTGTCTTCAGTGGGTGATAAGTTGTGGCTCATACCATCTAGTTCTTAGATATAGGAATGAATTCTTTTGAAGATTTTCATATTGTTTGTGTTCGTCTAGACCAGGTTCTCAACCAGGGTTGCAACCCTTTTGAGGGTCAAGTACCCCTTTCACAGGGGTCACATATGATATATCCTATATATCAGATATTTATATTATAATTCATAACAGTGGCATAATTACAGTTGTGAAGTAGCAGTGAAAATAGTTTTATTGTTGGGGGTCAGCACAACATGAGGAACTGCATTCAAGAGTCACATCATTAGGAAGGTTGAGAACCACTGCTCTAGACCCTCATGGACACAAACACTAAAGTTGCTTCTGTCAATTTTACTTTAGTTTTCTGAACACACAGATGGGAATTGATTCTGCCTGATGATAGAAAATGTTTTTTTTGGGGGGGGGTCTATTTAATTAAGAGTCATAAAGGGAAACAAGCAAAGTTAAGTAGTCTATGTGAAAAGACTTCTCAGGCTTTCTTTTTTCTCAAAGAGATCTAAGTGTTAGGATTAAAGGTGTGTACTGCCATGCCGGGCATGTTTTGCTTATAGAGCATTTTAGACATTGGACGGTAAGAGCCTCCAGACAATGGAACTTGCTCTTGGCATCTCTGACCTTGGCTGTATGTTTATTAGGTCAGTTGATACATTGCGATTGTGCAGTTTGCTTATTTGCCTTACTGTCTAAGTACTAAAAACATGACCTTTTTTAATTTAAGTAAATATATTTTATGTATTATTGGCGTGCACGTGTGTGTGTGTGTGTTTGCACGTGTGCACTATGGTATATGTGTGGAGCTTAGAGGACAACTCTGGGTCTTTCTTTTGACTGTAGGTTCCACAGATCAAGCTCAGATCATCAGGCTTTCCTGGCAGGCACATTCACATTGATAAAAATGCTTAGAATATACTGGGTCTGTCTGATGTTACTTTTGGTTCTGATGAGCCTACTTGCAAAAGTAGTTCTCCTTTCCTCTCACTAAGTCCTTAGGACCTCCCTAAGTAGTTTTTCCTGTGCTGGAAACCCTCATTTAAAAACAAAAAAAGATCATTTATCAATGTCTATACTGACATTTCTTCTCCAGTTTCCCTACCGTGGCTGGCTGGTGATTCTCTTTTTATGTCTCTGGGATGGGCTTCTATTACTCTGCTGTATTGAGAACAGGAGAGCAGAGGAAGACTGTAAAACAGCTAAGGACCACGATGCAGTGTTACTGCCTAGTTGCAGTCCAGATTTCTCCTGAATGCCAGGGGCAGTGACATCTCTAGCACTGCATCTCTTACAGTGATGATGGTTACTGCTGATGTGTTTCAGGCGTGTTGAAGAGACTGGAGTGGCTCCTGGAGCTGATGGGTTACATGAGAAACCTTGGGTACCAACCAGCGTCTGACCAGAGTGTGGCTCTCCATGAGGTACATACAGAAGCAGCGGACTTACCTTAAAATGTAAAGTTTATATTTTCTTTCCCAAAAAAGACTCAGTGGCTGTCTTCACTGCTGTAGCAAATACGTGAGGTCATCAGCTCACAAAGTGAAAACATTCATTTGGTTCACACTTTGGGGTTCTCGCACAGGATCTACGGATCCCATAGTTTCGAACTTGTGAAGTGACACATCATGGAAGGAGAGTATTGCTGACCCAGATCTCAGACCCGTAGTTCTTTCAGGTCACCCCCCCCCCAAAGATCTCCCACTAGTTACCACCTCCATGGGGTCTCCTGCTCAACCTGGAAGCCAGGGCCTCTGGGGTCACCCAAGACTCAATATGGAACTCACTCTCCACAGGGTCTCCTACCTTCCAATAGCACCACCCTGGGGACTCAGACTGGAAGTCTTTGGGGTCACCCAAGACCCAATATCAAGCACATTCTCACAGCTTTTCTTCTGTTTGCTATGAGAAACACTGGAAATGTCACAAGGAAGCAATGACTCTTGCCATGTTTCTGGAGATTCTCAGGACTGTCTTTTGAGATTTTTTTTTTTTTTTTTTTTTTTTTTTGGCCATTCCAGAACTCACTCTGTAGACCAGGCTGGCCTTAAACTCAGGGATCTGTCTGCCTCTGTGTCCTAAGTGCTGAGATTAAAGGGGTGTCCCCCTCCACCCCACTCTGGCAAGAAATACTTTTAACAAAACATGTTCTTTGATTCAGAAGACCTCTAGTTAGAAAGAGGGTTCTCATACAGTTTGTGGGGGAATGCCAGGCTCAGACCTCTTCTCTGCACACATGTGACTAAAAATACCTAGGATGAAGAGATTCCTGAAGTGTGTGCCAACACCTGCATGCAGCATGTGGAGTAGGATTTCATCACATCTTCAGCATGACCTATGATACCCCCAAAGAAAAGGCCTCTTGTAATGGGTAGTTGTAAAAACACCCAATAAGACAAACATAGCTCTTTCCCCACTTTTTCTTCTTAATTTTCCTTGGAGGCATTCTTCCTGGTTGAGAATAATTTAAATAGCCTGATATGTTCTTTGAAATCCTGTACCATTTGTCTCAAGAGTTGTGTATCTTTTTGAAGTTATTAATTTTTTGCTTGTTTTTTGAGACATGGTTTCTCTGTGTAGCCCTGGCTGTCCTGGAATTCACTATTTAGACCAGGCTGGCTTCAAAATTCACAAAAATCCATCTGCCTCTCCCTCCTGAGTGCTGGGATTAGAGGCATGTGCCACCTGAATTTATTAAAATTTTAATTCATCAGTTTGGATCTTGAGAAACTGAAAAATACTTTAAAAAAACTTTTTGGCTAATGCAGTCTCTTTCTTACTTCCTGAGCTTTTATTAACTTTCTGTTTATCTTACAAAAATCTCAAAATACTTAGCATGCAAATTAGCTGGTTAAAGTATAATTGAAATCACAGTAATTCAGCATCTTGGAAGTGTCCCCATTGCCATGTCTAAGTTTTTTACAAGTATCTAGTGTAGTCTGAAGGCGGATAGATTCCAGACAGATTTTTTTTTAATGCCTAAAGATAAACTTTTTATTGTTTAAAAATAACATCGAATGTTTCATATTCTTAAAAATCAGTTTTGTCCATATAATAAATATCTTTCTTAAGTTTATCTAGCTCTTTAAAACACCAGAAATGGTGACGTATTTAGATCTTGATATGATTAAGAATAAATTATATTTCTCCTGAAGTGTTGGAGGAATGATCCACCTCACAGACGGGAAAGTCAAGGAACCTTCCGAAGCACAGTGAGGCTCTGCAGTCAGCATGGAGCTGAGTTTGCTCTTGAGGGTAGTTCCTCTTCTGGGGCCGCAGTGAGAGAAGGGGAAGACGGCCTTGCATCACGGTGGAGGCTGTGTTCGTGAACCTGTATCACTCCGAATAGAACATGAGCTCACGTTACTTCTATTTCCTTAACAGGCTTTGGACTTCTTGCTGCTGATATTTGCAGCTGCGGTGATGGCGTGGGCAGACCATGAGGCCCCACTTCTCCTTGGCCTCAGTGCCAGTTGGTTGCCATGGCATCGGGAGAATGGCGCTAGTGGGCCAGCAACAGCCTTGCTTGGCAGGAGTCCGATGCATAGAGTGACCATGCAGGAGGTTCTCACTTCCCTTCCCAGTAGCATGCTACTGCTGCTACAGAAAGAGCCGTGGAAGGAACAGACCCAGAAGGTGAGGGGTGGCAGCTGCCTGCTTAGCAGGGCAGGCAGGCTTTTGTCTCCAGCTCTCACTGCTGTAGGATGGAAGTGGGAATTAAATAAAGCTTGGATCGCACCAAAGGCTTTCATACATAGCCCCAAGTATCACTTTATGCCATGTCCTGCAGACCGAGGCCAGCAAAAGCTCGTGGTATCTGTTGTCTAGAGACAACAGCAACTCCTTTATGGTGAGGGGCAGCTAGAGATAAAGCCTGTGTCTCCATTCATTATTGAGGGCACACGCGCTCTTGATCCTAGGTGGAAAGGATGCTTTTACCTCCAGTCCTTGAAGTCAGGCAGACGAAATCAAGATTTGGGATGGTTTGCTGTGTGGAAAAGAGACAGACGCATGTCCAGGGGAGGCTCAGAACATTCTAGAGGAAGTGTAGGTCTAGAGTGAGTAGCTCTCTTACTGTAACACAGCAAAGGGCCCATTTGGCTTATTCCTTTTTTTTTTTAATTTGAGACAGGGTTTCTCTGTAGCTTTGGAGCCTGTCCTGGAACTAGCTCTGTAGACCAGACTGGCTTTGAACTCCCAGAGATCTACCTGCCTCTGCCTCCCAAGTGCTGGGATTAAAGGTGTGCGCCACCACCACCCGGCTTTATTCTTTTTTTTTCCTTCTTTTTTTTTTTTTTTTTTTTTTTAAAGCAGGGTTTCTCGTAAAGCTTTGGAGCCTGTCCTGGCACTTGCTCTGTAGACCAGGCTGGCCGCGAACTCATGGAGATCCGCCTGCCTCTGCCTTGCAGGTGCTTTGATTAAAGGTGTGCACCACTGCCAGCTTCCATTTGGCTTATTTTATCTCACAGAGCCACTATGTGTACCTGCCGTAGCTGGCCTGTTCTAGAGCCTGATCAGGGTTTTATTACAGCCCTATCCCATCACCTCTGACCTCAGGAAAGCCTGTGTCCTAGGAAGCACTTTGGGATTTAGTCCTCCAGTGAGCAAACTCAGCAGAACACAGGGGACCATTGTCTCCTTTGCTCGGCTTTATCTGGCTCCATCCCGTCTTTAATACAACTAATTGGAAGATCCTTTTTTGAATCCCATTTGATCAAAACTCGATTCTTATGATGTTGAAAGCTTTAAGCTAATGCTTGGTTGCTTATTTTTAAGATATGAACATTAATCCTTAAAAGCATTCTGAACCATGAACTCGGCCTTAGCTACGCCTAACCTGCACTGAGCGTCTCAGCTGAAAGGCCTTTCACAGTTAAGTCAGATAAGATTAGGAGGCTGCCCCAAGCTTTGCAGTTTTTGTTCTACCAAATAAGTGCTCACTGTATTTGGTACACCAAAATAAGTGTAGTCTCTTCTGTTATTTCCAGATTGGGACACTGTTCGCTTTAGATAAAGGATAGACATCTTAGGTTGATTATATATTTGTAGTAACTATTTGTCTGCTAGTAAGTTATTAGACAAGCTGAGGAAGGAAATTTTATGAGCCTATTATCCATAGCCAAAATGCATATGGAACCAGCGAGAGGTAGCATGATGGACAAAAAATAGCTTTGCAGCCAGGTGTAGCTAGGCTCAAATCTTGACTCTGCTGTTCAGAGGGAGGTGGCTTGGGCAAGGTCACTAACCTGGCAGCCTCTCAGGGTGACTAGAGATAATGTTAATGATAAACAGAGTCCTCTGAGCCTAGCTCACTTATATCTGTAGGGGAAATGGGTTAGACTTGGTGAGGCCTTTTGGTTTGGGAGCTGTGTCTTTTGGCCCTGTCTCACCTCTGTACCCCTCCACCCCTCAGTGTTGGTCTTACTTCCCGTCTCATTCCTTCTACTCCAGCCTCAGCAGGAACCGCTAGAAGACTGTTGCCCTTCTTCTCATGTCTGCAGAGCCAAGAGACCACTGATCTCATGCTGATGGTGGTCTCTAACGTCACTAACAATGTTCTTTTTCACCCTAGTTCATTGACTGGCTATTTAGCATCATGGAAATTCCTAACGAAGCCTTTGCAGCAAAGTCTAAGGATCTTCTGAAAGGTATTAATTACTTCATGCTTTATGCCCACCATGGGGTAAACCACCCATTGCTGGCCGTGATGTGGAAGAGCATAGTTGGACACATGGTTTCAAAAAAATGTCCTTAATGTGACCTTGCAAGTCAGAAAAATGGGTTAAAAAGGAGGATTAGTGCCTTTAAACTTAACTTTTAGATAAGTGTACCAGGTATTTTATTACAATAGTAAAATAGTTAAAATTTATAAAATTCAAGAAAGTAAAAATACAGTGAGCAGAAATTCAGACAGAGTTCTGGAGACAGCTTTGATGCCTTCCTAGGACTCAGCATCTTTGTGATCTGGAACAGCTGAGAAAGTGCAGTAGACAGTTCTGGTTTCACCTTTCGTGGTTTAGAATTATTTTTAAATTCTAAAATGAATTCTTCCACTGGCTTCTAGTAATAGTCGGTGCTGCTTAGGGAACTAGGCATCCAGGGTTTCCCTGTTTTATACTTCTCCATGGACTGTCACACTATGACTGTAGGAAACCCCAAGTGTAGAAGATCTTTCTGAAAGTTTTATAGAGTCCTAAACTCAGACACGAGGTGTGATTTGGCCATCAGTCTCCTGATCTGAGATAGCTTGAACTTGTCACCTATGTCCTGGGTTCTGGACATAGCCAGTGGCTACTGCATTGTCATAAGACATAGATTGAGAAGTGCCGTTCCATTGGCCTACCCTGTGGTGATTATCTAGCTTGGAATATACTCATATTTTACTTTAAGGAAGGTATAATAATATTATTACTAAACAACCAAGAATTATGGGTGAACAGGAAGCATGCAGATGGGGGTCAGTGCCTAATGTGGTTCTCATACAGCACAGGGCTTCATTGCAAGTCAGGGCTGTGATGAAGATATTTCACTTTATCCATTCCTAGGGAGCTGGCAATAAGAGTCCCTCTGTCTGTGTGCTGCAGGGAGTCTGGGCTGGTGATTGATTCAAACATATGCTGCAGTTACAAAGCTAACAACTGATATCAATAAAGACAACATCACTTGGCTTAAGGGATCACACTTTTACTAGATCACTTGGCTTACTGGATTGACCTGGGTGCCCTACATTCCTTCGCATTCTCTCCTTTTACATAATATCTGAATATATTAATATGCTAGAATAAGACAAGAAATATGTACTAATTACTAAAAGATATAATTCCGAATTTCTCTACTTTAAGTTGCTTCTTGGGTCCCATAACACAATAGGAAATACATACCTTACAGACATATGTCTACGTAAAATTTAGTGTAGTATACTTGCTTCATTGAGCACATGAACTCAGCCTTATTATAGGTGTGGAGGTTTTTTTTAAGCATTTAATGGAGATAATTGTGTTCATGTATAATAGAATGCAAATTTAAAATAAATTGTTACAAAGGGAACATACTCATGCAAATAGTAATGCATTAAGAAAAACAGTATCACTAGCATGCCAAAAGTCTATAGTTTTGCAGACTTTCCTATTTACTGATTATAGGCTAACTTTCAAAAAAGAAAAAAAAAAACCCGCCAATTACCTTTGCAATCTGTAAAACCTGTGAGGTTTTTTTTTGGGGGGGGGGGTACTATAAAAATTCTAAATTCTGCCAAGCTTTGAGGGGAATCATTGTTAGTCTTGAAGACTAGTTGGGTGGGGAAGTGCCAAGCTCTGCTCTGACACGTTTGATAAGATGACCTTTTGACACCCAGCACAGCTCTGTCAGATGCATCTGTGTGCTCTGTGCTCTTGTCCTCCTAGCTACCCTCCTGTCCTTGCGGGTTCTGCCGGAGTTTAAGAAGAAGGCTGTGTGGACCAGAGCATATGGTTGGTGACATCCCAGGAGCCAGCAGCATCCCCACTGAATGAGACAGACCAGAGAGACAGAAGGTTTTCGGCACTGGTGACTGAGATTGGTGAGAACTGATCCTCTCAGTTAGAAACCACGAGAAGGTGGCTTCATACTGTGGCCAGAAAAGGGGTGCCTTACTCTGGTACTCTGGGTATTTGAAGCAGAAATAGGAACATGACTTCTGTGTGACCTAAGTTCATTGTAAAAAATTCCTTTTCTTTGTGAAAACTGAATTATATTTTCTCTCCCTTAAATTCTAGTAAAATAATTTTATGAAATTTGTGTAATGCAACCTTTATTTTTATGCCTGTGGTTTGCCGGTGAAAGTGAACCATAGAGGTGTCAAGGGTATGATGATCTATTTCCGTTGTTAGCCACAGAAGAAGTCACTGAGTCAGTGAGTTAGACAGGTTTTATCCTTGCTGATAAAGCACACTTAAGAGAACTGCTATGCACATTCAGATCGCTAGGCGTGACACCCACTGGTACCCAGGTTAGGTTCCTCAGTGACAGACAGGTGTAACTCCTGTGCTTGGTTGTTATGCGTCCAAGTGAACTCATATCTACTTCACAGTAGCAGTAGCCGCAAAGGAGACTGTGAGTTCACAAAGAAATCCAAGGTAGGTCTGATGAATCCCGTGATGCTGATCCATTCCTCTGGAGATGGTGCATCCTACTTGGCAAGGTGTCTGACAGCAACCTCAAAGGTAAAGAAAGCAGCACCATGGGAGAAGCAGCACCGTGAGGACTCTAGAAGCCATGTAACTCTCTGAACAAGTATCTGGTCCCTGGCAGGTGGGATACACTCGGTGACAAGGCCTACGTCACAGGGGAGGCAGCCCCGAGCAAACCATCTGAACTAAGTTTCCGCAGTAGAAAGATGATAGGATGTTAGACAAGCAAAAACAGATAGCTGTGTCCTCAGGAGATATCACCCATTTTATAACTCTCCGCTCCTTTCACCAGAGTGATCCGCGGCCTAAAGGTTTGAGAGATATCACAAGTCTAGGCTAATGCAGTGGCTAGAAACTCAGGCAGCATTTTAATTTTGTCCTAATTATTGTGACTTCACATGGGCTCAGTCTGCAACCAGTCATATGAATGTACAAACAGGTAATCATTGGGAAGAAAAGTCATGACACTGAACACCAGGTGTTTTTGCATCTGCCACGCACAGTGCCTGGGGGCTTCACAAACACCACACAACTTCTACTACTCAGAGGTGGCACGTATCTCCTCGTCCCAAAGTGCACCTGGCACGTTCAAAGTAGCACTACTAATTTTATTTTCCAGATATATAATCTCTTTACAAGTTAGACTACAAGGAAATAAGTTTAAGCCAAGGGAGAACGAAGTGATAATGATTTATACCAGCCTTTTTCTCGTCCCATGTGTAATAGAGACTGAAAGACTTCTAGCATTTACTGTTGGGTGCCAGACAGTCAGTACACTAGACTTTTCATTTGGCTTAGCTTGTTTGAAGTCTTGCAACAATGCCCAGGGAATACTGTTTTCTATTTTAAGATGGAGCAAAAATATTTAGTAAGTGGGAGAGTTTTGCCTAAAAGCAAGGTCCTAGAGCCTAGATCCAAAGCTATTGCTACTGCATCAGACACCTTGGCTCCCACTTTAAGGTGCAGATCTGCTAAGAGAAACACCAGGCTGTTGGCACTGGGAAGCTTGAGCCTAGTGGAGCAAGCCAAGTGTGTCTGCATGCATTAAAGAGCTGTGGATTCCAGGGTACCTTGGAAACACAGGAGACTGAGCCCTGAAGAGGAAGTGGGCACTGGAGACATCGTGAATCAGCAACCAAGCATTTGCTGATGCCCAGGAAAGGAAGAATCTGCCTAGACTTCAAATTTCAGATTTCTCGTGTCTTTTCAGCCTGATTTCTTTTCAAACCTGGTATTTCCTCCTGTCCTTCACAGGAAAACAGAAGTTTACAAAAAGAAGGAAACAGAATAATCTCCAGTCTCCTCTTTTCTAGTTCTTTCTGTTTTGATCAGTCATGGATGGAAGTCATGAGGTTTTCTGCCTATGGACCTCTAAGGATTCTAAATTGGTAGCTCTAAAGATTAAACTCAAAGGTAGGCCAACGAAATAATAGCCTCTCTCCTGGTTACCTGTATGACCCCCAAATAAGAGTTAAATTGTTCTATCACAATGTGCCACTTTGTTTGACACAAGCAAGCTGCTGTTTCTTTTTTAGACCATGTTCTTAACTACACAAAGGAGTCTTGGTTTCAAGTTCTCTCTTGTCAGCTTTTGAAAACAGGAGTTGCCAAGACGAATAGTATTTGGGGATGCACCAGTGTAGGGTTGACGCTACATTGTACCTCAAGAAATATCCAAACACAGATTGGATTTGGAAAGTGTGCATTTGGCAAAGATGTGGGTATCCATGCAATTGTCTAAAATCATGTTACAGTCATAATTTAATAGCCCCATGGTACCCAAGGGGCTGCTAAAAACATTTTATGACTTGAATTAGTAATGTTAACATTAAGTAGAGGATGGAAGAGTTTTAAGATGCTAATGTCACCTTTTAAGGTTTGGTAAAGGTGATTGTAGTCAAAGCTGAGGAAGAAAAGACATCTGGAGTGGAAGCCCCATTTTTCTTAGGGAACTCGTCATCATAAAAATTAGGGCTAATAAGTTGCCCCTGCGTAACTTAGGAGGCAACTCTGATCATCTTTTGGAGATAAATCAAAGAGTTCAAGTTCCAAGAAGTCCAACTGTCTTCCTATTTCTGTTAGCTACAGCTCAAACTGGCAGTGTTCCTGTTAGAGCAGCTGATGAGATCTACAGTTCACATCTACACTAATCTTACTGAACTGGCTAGCATCTTGCTCTTGGATGTCCAAGCCTCTAGAACTGTAAAACGTAAATTTCTGTAGTTTTGACAACCAAGCCCTGTGGGAGGGGGTGCACTTTGTGACACAGCAACAGCCTGAGCTAAGACACAGAAGATATTTGATAGGTATCTAAGTATACGTATTGCTCAAGCTGCTTGGCTCTAAGGGCCGGGGCATTTGTCTATAGAGTATCTAAGTCTATGTAATGCTAAAGGTGATTGGCTCTAAAGGCAGGGCATTTGTCTATAGAGTATCTAAGTATGTGTAATGCTCAAGCTGCTTGGCTCTAAGGGTGGGGCATTTGTCTATAAAGTATGTTATCCTAGGATTAAAGAGGATACTTTACAGCGTTCCCTTCCTATAAATCTGCTAGTTGTGATTGCAGAAGTTAATCAATTGGTTTCTCAAGTCAATTGAGCTTACTCCACTGAATCTATTTCTCATCAACTTCACACAGAAACATTTAGACCTCACACTGTGTGAAGTCCACAGACCTGGTGCAGCAAGGTGTGCTGTGCCTATGGAAGATGTGTTCATAAGGCACGGTCGAGGCGGAACAGAATATGTGATGCCTGCAGGAATCCATGTAATAGATTGTTGTCGAGTTCTCAGTTCTCTTTCTCTAGCATATGCCCAGGGCTGTATCTGCTGCAGGGTGACCCATAGCCCGTCTTCTGTCTTGTGTGATGGGCAGGAACGAAGCCTCACATTTTCTTCTGTTTGACAGAGAAGACTTTGAGGACATCTTTTCTTTCTGTGTAAAGATGGCTGTAGGTGAAATACATTCCTACGGTGCAAAAGGAAGTGAGGTGGGTTAACCATTCCTTTGAAAAGGTCTGCGGTTTTAGGACACAGGCAGGGGGCTGCTTGCATTCTGGGAGCTACACAGTTGCAAGGGAGGCTCAAGAAGAGCAATGAAGAACCATCCAGATTGTATGTAGAAGGAATGCAAGCAAACTCTTCTGTCCAACTGACTCTACTGCAGGCTAGCCCACCCCTCCCCCTCTTCTTTAGTAGCTTTTCCTACTGCCTCTGAACAGTCTGCTTTTCTTCTTCATACTTGTGCGGTATTCTTACACTTGGAAGCTGCTGCCTCGCAGACACGATTAGTATCTTGATAAGCTATGAGGGGTGGAGTAAATCATAGAAGTCTTTCCCCCAGTTTCTTGGAAAACAATGTTAGTAAGTTTGTGCAAATATAATTTTCTATTAGCCCACACTACATTTGAGTAAATTACTCTTAAATAGCTCCACTCCTTGATTGCATATCTCCTACATACGTTACTGTAGTACATTAGTGGGTTCGGTGTGGTTATTTCCACACATAACACATGACATGCAATGATCAAATCTCACCTCCCTTCTGCCATTCTCCCAGCCCCTCATAATCACAATTCAAGTATCATGTCAATTTTTAAATTTTCACATGTAAGAGAGAACACTCTGGCTTGCTAACATGCCCTCCATTTCCATCCAATGTCCTAGAATAACAGGAATTATTTTTGCTGGCTAAGTGTCCCACTGTGTGATCAAGCATGATATTTTCTCTATCCATCCATGTGGGCTGACTCGTGGGCTGGTTCCTTATCTTCCTGTTGTAAATAGTGCCACAAATATCACGGGTATGCCTTCTCTCTCCCGGGCTGCTAGCTCCACTTCCTTCTGTCCTCTGAGGGGCAGCTGGATCATACGGTAGCTCTATTTTTAGACTTTTTGCAGAACTTCCACACTGCTGCAGTAGTAGCCACACTAATTTGCATTCCCCACAACTATAGTAGTTTCTTTTTCTCCATATCCTCACTAGCATTTGTTTTTGTTGTTGTTTGATTGGTAACCGCCAGTCTGCCTGGACTGAAATGGTAGTTCACTGATTGTGTTTCCCTGATGGTTAATAAAAGGAAAAGTATTTTTCATAGTAATTGACTGTTTAAACATATCCTTTATAAGTCTACTCAAATCACAAACACATTTTCTATTTGTATTACTTATTTCGTATTAATTTTTTTAAGGTCTCTATCTCCTGAGTAGTTGGCGACAGTTTTCCTCCTCTCTGTACGTTGTCCCTTTGCTCTTTTATTTGGTCTGCTGTGTAGAAGCTTTCTAATCTAATTCATTTCATTAATCTCATTAATTCTTCCTTGTGTTTCCTGACCTCTTGACATCTCATTCAAAGAATTATCGTGTGTACCATATTTTTAAGTCTCCCACTGATACTTTCAGAGTTTTGGGTCTTACATTAAAGTATTTGATAGTTTTGAATTCTTTCTGTGTAAGGTGAGGGTCAGGCCATGTGTCAGTCTTTTGCATGTGTATCTTTTGTTCTCCCAGCACCATGTGTTTCTCTCATTGTTATTGTTGTCATGTTTATTTTGGTCTTTTATGCCAGTGCTATCCTGCTTATTACTGAGCCTCGTGTCTTGCAGTTGGGTATTGAGATACCTCCAGCTTTGTTCTTTCTGCTTTAGGGTATGGGGCTTACATACTAATGTTATGGGTTTTATTGTTGTTATGTGAAGCATGTTATTTGTTGTTTTATTCCTTTTAAAATTATTTTCTTAAAAGCGTATGTGTGAGCATGTGTTTATGGTACTGCACATGTGGTATGCCGGTGTGTATGCCACGTGTGCAAATGTAGTGGCCAGAGGAAGACATAGCTCTTGGCTGTGCCACTCCCTGCCTTATTCCACTGAGGCAGGGTCTCAGTGAACCTGGAGCTGGGCTAGCAGCCAACGAGCCCCAGCAATTCTCTTGTTTCTACCTCCTACAGCCCCAGAGCTATAGGTATGTGGCCACATCTAGCTTTTTGGTGGGTGCTGGGGATTCAAATTCAGGTCCACATGCTTGTGTAGCACAGCTCTTACCACTGAGTGGTGATCTCGGTCCTCAAAATGTCAACAGAGTTTTGATGGAGATTGCATTGAATCCGTAGATCACTTTGAGTGATATGGACATTTAATGATTGCTGCCAATCCATGAAAACTGGCAACCTTTGGGGGCTGGAGACATGGTTCAGAGGTTAAGAGCATTGCCTGCTCTTCTAAAGGTCCTGAGTTCAATTCCCAGCAACCACATGGTGGCTCACAACCATCTGTAATAGGGTCTGGTGCCCTCTTCTGGCCTGCAGGCATGGACACAGACAGAATATTGTATACATAATAAATAAATAAATGTTAAAAAAAAAACTGGCAATCTTTTCACCTTTTAGTGTCTTCAGGCTCTCTCCCCAGTGC